GTTTGTGGCTCATTTCACTTGTTTGTTGCTTTTTTGTTTTCGTTGTTTGGGGGACAAGGTCTCACCATGAAGCCCTGCATGGCCTGGAAATCAATATATAGAGCAGGCCACATTCAAACTAACAGATGCAACCTGCCTCTGCCTCCCAAATGCTAGAATTAAAGGCATGCACCACCATGCCCACTTTGGGGCCAACTTTTTAAAATTATATTTACTTATTTATTTTATGGGGGAAGGACATACATGTGCTACAGTCTGAGCACGGCCAGGTTCTAACACTGCAGTCTGTATCTCCCCATGGTCACATGTATGCAAAAGTCCCATGTGTATACACCACAGCACCAGGCTGCTCCTCCACAGAAAGTGCCCGTCCCTTGTGACAGCATCATGGCTGCAGGGCCCAGTCACTGCTATTTGGGGAAACATGGTTGTCACTGCAGGAGACTGATGACAGCATCCTGGACAGAAACCATCCCACAGCAGGGTCCTTATGGGGATTCAACAGAGCCCATGACTCGTGATTAAGGAGCCAGCAGGTGGCAGCAGTGAGGCTGAGCACAAGGGCCAGCTGGTACCCTGTAGAACCTGTTGAGAGGCTGTTTATAGAAATGCTGGGTTCCTGAGGAACCGCCATGTAAAAGAAGCTTGTTTTTAATTTAAAATCAGTCTAATTACAATTATAAAAGTAAAAAAGAGAAATTCAAAAGAAAAAAAAAGAAATGCTGGGATTCAACTAAAAATCTAGGCAGTAGTGAAGAAGCCGCCTTTGTTGCCTTCCCCTAGTATGAGATTGATGACTACCTTAACTGCCTTCCTACAGCCTCATCCAGTAGTCCATGAAAAGAGAAGCAGGCACCCACAGCTAAGCACTGAGCCATACTCCTGGGATCCAGTGGTATGGAGAGAGGAGGGATGAGCAAAGGAGTCAAGACCCTGCTGGAAAAACCTACAGCTGAGCTGACCTAGTGAGAACACAGGGACTCCAGTTGTAAAGCTTGGGAACCAGCATTGGACCGAACCAAGCCCTCTGAATGTGGGTGCCAGCTAGGAGGCCTAGGCAGTCTATGTATGGGACCTCTAAGAGTGGAGCCAGTGTTTCTCCCTAGTGCACAAATGGACTTTGGGAGCCCATTCCCTATGGAGGGATACTATTTCACCCCAGATATACGGAGGAGGGCCTAGGACCTCCCTCAAATGATGTGACAGGCTTTGCTGATCCCCACCGAAGGCCTCACAGTCCTTGGGGAGTGGGGGGGAGGTTGCAGGGGTTGGGTACAGGGTATGGAAGAATGGGAGGGACAGGGAATGGTGGGGGATTGATATGTACACTGATTGTTTCTAAATATAAATAAATAAATAAATAAATAAATAAATAAATAAATAAAATGGTGGGGTCCAGCAGATTTCACATGGCAGCATCATCAGGTCTAGCCCCACCTTGGTGACTTACAAATCAGATGGCTTTTACCCAAATACCATAGACAGGAGGGCAAGGCCAGATGAAACCTAGAGACTGGTAGGAGGCAGAATACTCCATCAGAAACTGCAGTAGTATTGGAATCACTGTCCAGGTGAGGGAGACGGTCACCAGGAAGCCCAGGGAAGTCATAGACTCAGCAGCAGTGAGCAGCCCAGGCGAGAGTGTCTCCAGGACCCTGGTTTTCCCAGGGCACTGTAAAGAGTCTCTGAAAGACAGGAAGACGACAAAGAGCAGCCTATGGTGAGAGCGCCATGCTAGGGCTGGGGACTGAATGTGTGTCCTCATCACTTCCTTCCTCATTGTGCCTGAGGTGAACAGAAACTGAGCACTTCTCTACCACAGATTGTTAGAGAGACACAGACAACTAGCATGGTGGGAGAGATAATGAGAAACTGACTCAGGAGAAGGCAGGAGTGGAGGAAATCTGGAGATGAGGAAACTGTGATTGCAGGCCACATAGTATTGGACAAGACCGGATAAGACAGGAGGGCAGGGTGGAAGAGAAGGGAGCCCGCATGCTGAGGACAAAGCTGTATCTCCCAGCCAATGCTGGGCTTGGGCTCAAGGGTTCAGCCATCTTGTCAGTGACCAGGGGCGGATCTTCTGCAACATGGAAAAGAAGAAGCCAGATAATAAAGGAAGTTGTGGACCACAAGGAGGTGGAGATGGGGAGGTCCTGCCCCACTCAGTCCTCCACATGAGAAGATCAGAGGGTGAGGGTCATTTTACCCTGATTCTCTCCTGAATCCTGAGCACCACAGGCTCCCTCCACAGGGCCTGTTCGTTTGCCTGATGGCTCCACTGTTCTCATTTCCTGGAGGAAACCATGTCATAACTTGTATCCTGCTTCTGCTGTTGCCAGCAGCATGTCTGCAAGCTGGTGAGTGGTGGGACTCTGACTTAACCATGAAAGACCAGTGGGGCTGGGAAGAGCAGGCTGTCATGTGGACAGGTGTCTGCCAGAGGAGCCAGCCTGTCCTCTGTCACCCAAGACAGAGCTCATTCTCAGAGTTGGTCCAGCCCGACCTTTCCATGTCTGCACTCTCTCATAGGGTCAGTGAGTGGGACATAGAAGAGTCCTGTCCTGTGTCCCACACCTGCATATGGAAGTTGGCTTAGGAGGCTCTGGGTGGTCCTTTCCATCCCTGCAGAGATTTCACATTCTCCCCAACCTTCCCAGGGAACTCAGAAGGATCCAACAGAGAAAGACCCTTGGGGGTCAATCAACCAGCACAACTCTCTGGTGTCCAGGGCGGCTCCATCGAGATCCCCTTCTCCTTCTACTTCCCCTGGGAGTTGGCCAACGATCCACAGATGAGGATTCTCTGGAGATGGAAGGGCTTCCATGAGGAATTTATCTACAACACCTCCTCGCGTTTCATACATGAGCATTTCAAGAACCGGCTGGTCCTGAACTGGACACAGCCTCAGACATCTGGAGTCCTCAGAATCCAGGACCTGAAGAAGACGGACCAGACAGTGTACTTCTGCCGAGTTTGTATGATCACAAGAGGAGGCAAGGAGGAATGTATTCAGTCGATTCCTGGGACCCAACTCACCATCACCCAAGGTGAGCATGTCCAGGGTCAGTCTTTGCTGGTCCTGGCTTCCTCTACCATCGATGCCATTAGAGATCTTACTTGTCATGATGTGTCTGCTCTGTCTTCTGAACCCTGCCTTTCCTCTGAAGCAGAAGTACCTGCAATCCCTGTACTGGGGACACTAAGTGGACACTGTGTGGCAGTTACCCTTGCGCCCTTCACGTGGCCCTTCAGTAGCTGGAGACTCTGCTGCTTCCTTGTCGACCACAACCTTGCTCTTTGCCTATTTTTATATACTCTTTCTGTTTTAGGCTTTGTAAGACGGGGTCTCGCCATTTAGTCCTGCTTGTTCTGGAGTTCACAGAAATCTCCTGCCTCTTCTCCCAAGTACTGAGATTAGGGTCACGTGACACCACATACAGCTATGACTCCTGACTGGATTAAAGCCAATCTGTGAGAGGACACCCTCAGCCCAGTTCTTGTGCAGTCTCCTTGGCTGCCATGTTGACCTGATGTCACAGCAAACAGCAGCTGCCAGAGCTCAGGAAGGGAGAGAAAGGAGCAGTTTCTTGGGTCTAGAGCAGTGATTCTCAACTTTCCTAATGCTGTGACCTTTAATACAGTTCCTCAGGTTATGGTAACCTCCCAGCAGACACACACACACACACACACACACATAGACTATATAATTATTTTCATTGCTACTTCATAACTGTAATTTTGCTACAGTTATGAGTCATATTATAAATATCTGATATGGAGGGTGTCTTATGCTCTAGTACTGTGGGGAGGCAAACCACAGGTTGGGAACTGTTGGTCTAGTGTTTCCAGATATGTAAATGTTGTGGAAATTGAACTTGCTAATGTTTGTAGAGCAAATGAATGTGCACTGCACTGAGGAGACAAGGTGTGACGCTCACCCCATCCCCCCCCATCCAGGGAGCATCCGCTAACTCTCATCTCTCTCCAGCTGTCAGAACCACCATGCAGAGCCCCTCCATTGTCACCTCTGCAGTCACCACAGTTGGCCTGGAGGACACAGAGGGCCAGAGGAACCCTTCACTTGTGAACCTGGGAGGCACGGTCGGGGTGGTGGTGGGCACGGCTGTGCTCATAACCCCCGTCTGTGTGTTGATGGTCGTCCTCTGCTGGAAGCAAAGGTAAGTGATCCAGGACAGGCCCTCACCTGAGCTTCCCCTCTGAGTTTTCTCAGCTGTGAGGGATGGAGAAGGATGAGCTTGTGCAGGGAGAAGTAAAGAGACCAGGAGGACAGGAAGGTGGCTGAACTCAACACAGACTCAACTGGCAACTCCTGTCCTTAGAGAGCAGCTGATCCAGGGCGATGGACACAGAGCCTGCTCCTAGGAAATCAGGGGCACACTTGGGTGCCTCAGTGCCTGCAGGTCAATGCCCAAGGCTGTCCCCTGCCTAACACACGTGTTTGTGCATATGCAAATACACACGTTCACACACATACTGCCCAAAATAAATTTTTAAAACTTTGGAAAATTGTAAAAAAATGTAAGGACACTTGCCTAATGGAAAAAATTGTGCCTTCAGTTCTTACAATGCAAAACACTATAAAAATTCAATGGAATCCCTAATCAAATCCCAACTGCAATTTGTAGAGATAAATGACTTGTCTTCTAGACTTCATAAGGTCTCTAAGAAACACATACAGGGACACAGGACAGGACCCCCAATCCCAGCACTGGGAAGCTTAGAGAGTGGGATCAAGAGTTGAAGGCTGTCTGCAGTTACGCAGCAAGGTGAAGGCCAACCTGGGTTCATTGAGATCTTGTTCACATGAAACAAGAGCCAAGTGCAGACTGTGTTCAGAGCAGATTCCAATCCACGGGAAGTAGAAGACTACACACAGGAATGGAGATGCGTAGAGCCTGGAGTGTAATGGGAAAACAGACTTGAGCATGTAGGCCCTGGTCATCAGAGGGGCTCAGCCCTGCCATGAGGGAAGAAGAGGAACTGAGAGCTGGAGAGCATTGGCCTGAGAGGCAGAAGAAGTCAGACTGGGATTCAAACCCTGAGGCTGAACCTGCAGGGTGGCTGCAGCCTGCACTCACAGGGAAAGCAGGAGAGCCAGTTTCCGGGGAGACTAAAGGGAACATGGAGAGTGCAGAGCAGGGAAAGCAGGGAGTTCAAGACAGGGGGAAGGAAGTAAAGGGAGAGGGCAAGGACAAGGGGCCATGGACCAGGAGAGCTGTCCCCTGATTGGTCACGTAGTGCAGAAGAACAGCTGAGGACTGGCCTGAGGTCCTGGTGACTGTCATCCTGTCCCTGAATGGCTGCTGCAGAGCTGTTTGCTGCCCTGGGCCCCTAAAGTTGTCTGACACAGAGAACAGCTGAGAGACAGAGGGAGGATCAGCATGTCTGCCACACTGACACTGTTTCTTCTCCTACAGGCCAGCAGACTGAAGCCCAGACCCCAGACAGGGGGGCGCCTGTCATCCCAGGGAGCAGGTGAGGGGCTGCTTGGGAAAGTTTGTACTGAGAGGAGCACAAGGGAGTAGAGAGATGATTCCGTCAGAAAACCCTCACACACGGGCAGGAGGACCTGAACTCCAACTGGAAAACTCACATTATAAGCAAGGCAGGCAGCAGGAATGGGTACCTCAGGCCTAGAAAAGCAGGAGCAGAGCAGAGTCATAGGGCTGTCTGTCCAGCTGCTCCAGCCTAAATGGTGAGTTCCAAATCAGTGAGAGCCTATGTCATAAATAAAGAAGAATGGATTCCCCAAGGAGATAAATCCTGCTAATAACATTTTCTAATTTTTATTTAAATGAAGTATTTTAAAATTACATATTGATGAACAAAAATAGTGTGGGCCATGGAGATAGCTCAGTGGGAAATGGTGCCTGCTGCCTAGCCCAATAACCTGGATGTGATTCCTGGGAACCCAAATGATACAAGGAGAAAACTGGAAAATTGTCCTCTCCCTCTCAGGGTCACCCACAGGCAGCAGCTAAGACATTGTCTGTTAGTCCCCTGCTCACAGACTCCAGGGACCAGGGAAGTGAGTTTCCTTGAAAGCATGGTTTGCTGGCCACACATACTGCATCCCATCCCCTTCCCTGCCTCCTGACAGAAGACAGAGAGCATGGCTGCAGCCTGTCCTGTCCTGTCCTTGGGCAGGTACAAGAAGAGAAGACACACTCCCGACATGTGGGCACCGATGTCCTGTCCTGGGAACCCAGGTCATGCTGTCTACTCTGGTCCTGAGAGACCAAGGTGCTGTTGTCTGTCTGTGGAAGTGATAACACTTTTTAATAAATGTCTTACTCCCAGCATCCATCTCAGTGTGGCTCTTGACCCCTCCCTCAAGTGAGGCCTCTTAGAAAGTAGCAGATTGTGTCCAGGAGCAGGGACACAGAGAGAGTCAGGTGCTGTATTCCGCACAGAGAACCACTGCATGAGGATCCTGGGTCCTCTCTCCCTTCTCCCTGGTCACTGTCATGTCACCCACAGCCCCTGACCCCTCCATGCTCTCCTCAGGTGACAGACCATGGCTTGCTTTCCTCACAGGCCATCTACAAGCAGTTGCTTTCCTTGCTCCCGCCATGTTGATATTCTGACCTCTGGTGTCTCCCCTAGGACAAGACATCCTTCCCAAGGCCAGTCTGTCTTCACATTTGATTCTCAGCAGGTCAGCTCTACCAAGAGCCTCTGGGACATAAGGACAGCATCCAGAATGACCAATAGGAATGGAACCAGGCTGCTCTCACAGCCAGAAGAGGTGCATGGACATTGTGTTTGTTTGACTGTAATTGGTCCACATGAGCGCATAGGGAGTGGCCCCACAGGAGGCATAACATTGTTGGCATAGATGTGGCCTTGTTGGAGGAAGTGTGTCACTTTAGGAATGGGGATTGAAGTCTCCTATGCTCAGTCTCTGCCCAGGTTAGACTCTGTTCACTTCCTCTGTCCTGCGGATCAAGAGCTAGGTCTCTCAGATCCTTCTCCAACACTATGTCTGCCATGACCCACCATGATGACAATGGACTAAACCTCTGAAACTGTAAGCCAGTTCCAATTAAATCTTTTCCTTTGTAAAAGTTGTCATGATCATGGTGTCTCTTCACAGCAATAGAAGCCCTAAGACAGAGATGCTTGAGATCCACCAATCACATCCTGCATAGATGCAGCTCTTAATCTACCAATGACAATCTTCCAATGTGGATCAATCAAGGGTCTGTGCAGAGTCATTGAAGGAATTGCCCCATGCCCGTGAGACTAGCTGTAAAATAGAGGACTCATGGAGAAATCACCAAGGATTCTCATGGCTAAAGTGAGGTTTCCTGGGGCAGCTGTGAGATGTCCGATGTGGTGTGTCTGTTTCCAAGACACCTGAGGCTGAACTCAGCAGCAGCTGTGGTCACAGGGATCTTGGCAGCTGAGGTGGTGTCTCCTCTGAACAACTCTGAGGTGTTCCAAATCAGACTGCCATGATGGCAGTCTGTCCAGGCATCTAAAGAAGGGTCCGTTCATCATCTCCTCCCTCCAGGCAGCTGGGTACAGAGAAGGGACCTCATGGGTGGAACTCAAACGGTCATGGGACTTGTCGTGTCAGTTTCCATTGTTCAAAGGGGAGGAACAACAAGGGGGCACAAGGCAAAGACTCACACAGAACCAACATTCTCAACAGTTAGGTCAAATCTCCTCAGAAGAAGGAACATTATGGTCTGATTGCAGAGCATACCTGGGTTCTAGTCTGGCTACCAGAATTATGAATTTGTGTCCCCTGGCCTGAGGCAGTCAAAGAAGTACTAGAGGAAGTCAGGCATTGTGACAGATGCCTATAGTCTCAATGATTGACAGTAGAGATGGCAAGACTATGAATTGGAGACAATCATTAGTACATATTGAGTTTGAGGCCAACCTAGACTACATGAGACATTGTCTTAAAACCAAACAAAAGACAAAGCTCACCAAACTCCAAACTCTACAGAGAGGCCATAGAGGCTGCTCATCTGTTACTTCACTTTGGTTGGAGACAGAGAACTTAAAGACATCACAAGTTTTCCCATTAGATTCATTTAAACAAATTTTGTGACTATTAATATTTTCTTTTAAATAATATGTATAATGTGAAGAGGAAATTGGGAGTTTCTCCATTTCTGTGACCTCAACACAATGAAATGTGAATTTCTGCCTCTGACCTTGGCTATCTGCAGAGGCTGGGAGACTTCATACCAGAGGAGCAGGTGACTGAGCTGGTCACCCAGCCCCACCCAGTGGACCTTTAGGACACAGTACAGAGTCTCTTTTGGGGCTCCCCTGGGCAGGGAGGGGTGCAGGGGGTGCTCAGGCTGGATTGGGCAGCACATGAGGGAGATGAAGATGATGATGTCATCCTAGGGGAGAAAGAGGAGGTCAGATGCTGTTGGGGCAACTTTGATATTGTGAAGCTGCAGATGCAGCCTGAGTGTCCTGTCTACACCACAGGCCACCATCCTTCCACCCTCTCTCTCTCTCCCTCTCTCTAGCATCTCCTCCACTTTCTTTAGGAACCATTCTTGGTGGGTTACTCTGGGGTCTTTATGTTGTCAAGGGGAGAAAGAATTCAAGGAGTGGGAGAGTAGGTGGTGTGACAGGAGGGGTGGACAGATGGACAGTTTTCATATGAGGTTATCTGCTTCATCAGGACCATCAGGGCTTCCACTGTGGGTTTTTTGATGGAAGAATCTGTAATTAGACAGTTCAGACAGAAACAGGAAGGGTTGAGCCTCTTCTCTGCCACCACTGTCTTGGGAAAACACACTGGGTATAAAATCAGAGTCTGAATGCTGGGGATGCTATCAGGAACTGGAGTCCGAGGCGTCACAGAGCCTGGTCTGGGAGGCCAAGTCTACTCAGGATGAGGACTGGGCAAACATGTGGTGGCAGAGCAGCTATGGAAATCTCCTTGCATGATATGTGTGTGTCTGTATTCAGGTGCAGGTGTGTGGAAGCATGTGCTCACCTTTGTGAAGGCCATCAGAGGACCTCAGGCATTACAGATCAGGACACAATCTCCCTGGATTTTGTTTGTTTATTTGTATTTGGGGATTTGCTTTTTGTTTGTTTTGGTTTTGGGGGGGGTTGGATGTTTTGGTTTTTTGTTAGTTTTAGAAGAGGTCTATGTGGCCATTGCAGGCCTATCACTGGATTTCAGATCAGGCTACACTTAGACTCACAGAGATCCACTTACCTCTGACTCTGCCTCCCAAAAGCTAGAATTAAAGGCATACAAACACCATGCCTAGCCCACGTGGCTTTTAATTTTAAAAATTACACTACTTCTTTATTCTGTGGGTGCAGGGCACACTCCTGCTACAGCCTGAGCAGCAGCAGTTCTAACCCTGCAGTCTGTCACCCTCCATGGTCACATGTATAGAAAAGCCCCAGGTGTGCAACCACAGTCCAGGCTGCTCCTCCACAGAAAGTGCCCCTCCCCTGTGACAGCATCATGGCTACAGGGCCCAGTCACTGCTATTGGGGGCAACCTGGTTGTCACTGCAGGAGACTGATGACAGCATCCTAGACAGAAATCATCCCACAGCAGTGTCCCTGTGGGGAGTCAACTGAGTCCTAGACTTGAAACTAAAACAGAGCCCATGACTTGTGTTTAAGGGGCCAGCAGGTGGCAGCAGTGAGGCTGAGCACAAGGGGCAGCTGGGATCCTGTGGACGCACAGAGCCTGTTGGGTAAATGCTGGGGTCCAAGGCTGACATGTGGCAGCCTGATCAGGTCCAGCCCTTCCTTGAGAGACTTACCAATCAGGTGGCCTTTACCCACAGACCCCAGACAGTAGGGCAAGGCCAGATGAAGCCTGGAAGTGGGTACTCGTGACCAGGAGGCCCCTCAGACCCCTCAGACCTCACTGAGGCTAAAGATGTGGTTCATCTGGTGGAGTCCTTACCTGCCTGGCACACACAGAACTCTAGGCTCTCCAGCAGTAGACTAAGGACACAATGAGGCACACCTGTCACCCCAGCACTTGGGAGGGCAAACAGGAGGATCTGTAGGAGTTCAAAGTCATCCTTGACTACATGACAAGTTCAAGGCCCAGCCTGGGCTACATGAGACCCCATATAATAAAAGAGGGGCTCTCTGACAGGTTCAATAGGCCCTGTCCCCTCTCCTGACTGAATGTCCATCTGTGGTCAGCTCATCCCAAAGTTTCTGTGCTCAGTTCTCCTCAGTTCTCACTGAGGCCATGAAGTTTCTGCCATGCTCAGGTCAAGGGATCAGAGGACCATGGGGATTGTGAGGAAGGCAGAGAAACAGATATGACAGAGGGCGGCTGCATGGCCACCTGCAGGGAAGCATGGAGAAGTCAATGACAGGAATCTAAGGAAATAGGGACTCACCTCTGCACATGTCACTCAGGGAGAATGATGCCACCTCCTCTGAGACAATCCTGTCTGCCTTCAGGGAACTGATTGGACCATGTCATGGGATGACCCTCATACACAACCAGCCCTGTGGCACCACAGCCTCTGCCCCACCTCTCACACCTCCGCCCTAGTCACAGGCCAGCTGTGTCCATTCTCAGAGGAGTCCCAGGCCATACGTCAAGACTGACATTGCTGCACTGAGCCTTTTTTGCCCACTTCATCCAGAGAAGCTTCTAGAACAGCCACAGCTAGAGGGAGTCACTCAATACTTTGTGGGAACAGCATCCTGGGAGCCCAGCAGAAGATCCCTGACCTTTGAAAGGAGTTCAGAGGTTGCACCGAGAAAGTCTGTGTGCACTGGAAGACAAGAAGAACTCAGGGGAACTAAATCCAGTGAACCACCACGTGGCCATCATGTGACATGTGCCAGGGCTTCTCTGATCCTTGGTATCCTGTTCTGTGTGTGCGACAAGGTTGGAGTGAGGTAGAAAGGATCCTCAGAAACTGCAGTAGCTTTGGAGTCACTGTCGAGGTGAGGGAGAAGATCACCAGGAAGCCCAGGGAAGTCACAGACTTGGGAGCAGTGAGCAGCCAGGTGAGAGTGTCCACTGGGCCACTGTGAAGAGTCCATGAAAGGCAACAAGGGGACAAAGAGCAGATGGTGGTGGCACCATGCTAGGGTTGGGACTGAATGTGTCCCCTCGTCACATCCTTTCTTGTGTTTGAAGTGAACAGAAACTGAGTGCTTCTCTACCTGAGATTATGAGAGACACAGACAACCACATGGTGGGAGACATAAGCAGAAACAGACTGAGGGGAGGGCAGGAGTGGAGGAAATCTGGAGGTGAGGAAACCATGATTACAGCCACATAAGAAATAGAAACACTGGATAAGACAGGTCAAGGTGGAAGAGAAGGGAGCCCGGAATGCAGAAGGCAAGGCTGTATCTTCCAGGCAAAATGTGGGCTGGACTCAAGAGTTCAGCCATCTTGTCAGTGACCACAAGGGCGGATATTCTGCAACATGGGAAAGAAGAAGCCAGAATGATAAAGGAAGTTGCTAGCCACAAGGAGGTGGAGATGGGGAGGTCCTGCCCCCATCAGCCCTCCAAATGAGAAGGCCCAGAGGGTGTGGGTCATTTTATCCAGATTCCTGAGCACCCCAGGCTCCCTCCACAGGGCCTGTTCTCCTGCCTGATGGCTCCACTGCTCTCATTTCCTGGGGGAAACCATGTCATAACTTGTATCCTACTTCTGCTGTTGCCAGCAGCATGTCTGCAAGCTGGTGAGTGGTGGGACCTTGCTAGCAGGGACTCTGCCTTAACCACAGGAGAGACCAGTGGGGCTGGGAAGAGCAGGCTGTCATGAGGACAGGTGTCTGCCAGAGTGTCCTCTGTGTCCCAAAGAGAGTTCATCCCTCAGAGTTGGTCCAACCCAAACTTTCCCTGTCTTTCCTGTTCCACTCTTCAGAGTTCATCCCTGTATCCCACACCTGCCTATGGTGAAGGTTCATGTGGTCTGGGTTTTCTTTCCATCCCCTGCAGAGAATTCAGATTCTCCCCCTCCTTCCCAGGGAACTCAGCAGGATCCAACAGAGAAAGACCCTTTGGGGTCAATCAACCAGCACAACTCTCTGGTGTCCAGGGTGGCTCCATCGAGATCCCCTTCTCCTTCTACTTCCCCTGGGAGTTGGCCAACGATCCACAGATGAGGATTCTCTGGAGATGGAAGGGCTTCCATGAGGAATTTATCTACAACTCCGCCTTGCGTTTCATACATAAGCATTTCAAGAACCGGCTGGTCCTGAACTGGACACAGCCTCAGACATCTGGAGTCCTCAGAATCCAGAACTTCAAGAAGAAGGACCAGACAGTGTACTTCTGCCGAGTTTGTATGATCACAAGAGGAGGCAAGGAGGAATGTTTTCAGTCGATTCCTGGGACCCAACTCAACATCACCCAAGGTGAGCACGTCCAGGGTCAGTCTTTGCTGGCTCTGGCTTCCTTGTACCATCGATGCCATTACAGACCTTACATGTCTGATGTCTCTCACTGATCCCCCCCCCCGTGTTCTGTCCCCTCCCCAGAGCTCTGCCACCTTCACCTTCCCTCTTCTGCATAACCACCCACAGGCTGCCCTGCTCTCTCTGAGCTGCCCCTCATTGTGCCCTCAGATCCCACCCCACTCCCGGGCCTCCCTCCTCCCAGATGGCCCAGTCTCCTCCTCCTTTCTCCAAACCCAGTGAACCTGGCCTCTCCAGGATGGATTGGCCTGCCCTTGGTCCTGTGTCAGGATCTCAGTGGACCTGGGGTTACACCGTATCTCGGGCCTTCCACAGCAGTGCCTTCTGGTCCCCGAGCCAGTCCTCTGGCTCCCCCTACTTCACCAGGCTCTAAAATGCATCCCTCTCCTCTCCCTGTCCCAGTTTCTTTCTTCTCTCTCATTTCCTCTTCTCCCTCCTTCCTCAGCATCCCCCATCTTCCCACACAGGACCCATGTCCTCACCATGACCATGTCTTCTGGTCATTCCTCCTCCTCCGTGGGAGCTGTAACTGCAGCTTCCACACAGAGTGCTCACAGCCTCATCACTGGGCCACCACTTCTGGGCACACATGGTCATTATACACAGATACACAGACACCAGCAGTATTCAACCCCTGCCCAAGGTCATGCTGCTGACCAACAGGCCTGGAAAGGGACCCTTTACCTCCAAGCATCTATCAACCAGGGGACATATGGCCTCTGCCCAAGTTCACTCTATTGCTGGCCTCTCTGTCTTGATTTTTTAGAGTATGTATATATGAAGTGTGTGTGTGTGTGTGTGTGTGTGTGTGTGTGTGTGTGTGTGTGTGCAGTTATCAGGCAAACTTGGACTTTTCGTGCATAGGAAGGCCAGAGGTAGACATTGGGTGTTCTCCTCTAGTAAGACCTGCCTGGGTCCCTCACTGAACCTGGTTTCACTGCTTGGGGCTGGGCAGATGGGCTATGAAGCCTGTTGATCCTCTTGTCTCCATCTACCATGACGTTGCAGTTACAGGGGCTCTCATGGCTTGTTTTATAAATAAGATGTATGAGATCTGAATGGGCAAGGTTGGTCTCCATCCCCCCCACACACATATACACAGACAATACACAAACACAGACACACACACTCATCCACCATTATGTGTGTGCAAAAAATAATAAAAAATATTTTTAGAAAATAAGATATTAAATTAATAGTGAAATGATAATAAATTATCATTAACTCCCAACAGCGCCAGTGATAGATGGGTTTGTCCCTTCCAGGTGACATCCACCTGCCTCCGCCTGGCAAACCACTCCTCTTCTTTACCCTGTGCTGGTTCAGGATAAAGTCCACAGGCAGAACTGGCCAGGCAGCCTTATGTCTGAGGTTCCTGTGTCTCCTACACGTTTCTCTGGCATTTCTGTTCTTCCCAGCCTCCTTGATCTTCTTCCTTTCCTAATTTCTCCCAACCCTTGCCATAACCTATCAGCTGCTTGGTAGAAAGATCAATTTCAGGCAGCCTTGCCTTTCTCTGCTTCAGTCAGACACACCCTGTTTGTCTCTTTTAGCAGGACTTCAGATGGTCCCCAAGGCCAAAGGGAGCTAGAAAAGGGCTCTGCCATTGAGTTACATCTCACCTCCACTATGAGATATTCCATCGGTATTTTTAAAATTAATTCATTAACTGAATATCCTGCCCATTGTTTTTAAAATAGTAAAACTAATGATAAAAAGATATTTTTCTTTTCATTTCATTTTGTAAAGACAGAGACTCATGTAGCCCAGGATATTCTCAGACTTGCTGCATAGCTGAGATGACCTTGAACTACTGACCCTCCAGCCTCCAATTCCCAAGTGCTGAATCACAAAGGTGTACTGTGCTTGATATGGTACTCAGGGTCTCTGCACGCTAGGCCAGCAATGTACCACTGAGTTATACATCCACACACCTCAAAATAATTGTATTTATCCAACCAAAATGTCTGCATTTAGTGTAAAGAAGTCACAACGTGAGAAATATTTGCAACAAGTATTTGAAAAGGGTTCCTGTGGGTTTTTTTAAACATAATTCCATATTTGTAGACAAATTCAATAATACTTTCCTTTGCATTTTTCTCTTTCATGTCTAAGCATAAAGCCCTGGTGATAGATGTCTCTGTCTCTCTCTGTCTCTGTCTCTGTCTCTGTCGCTCTCTCTCTCTCTCTCTCTCTCTCTCTCTCTCTCTCATATGTGTGTGTGTGTGTGTGTGTGTACACATTTGGCTACACTCCCTGCTAAAATTAGGACAGCAACAGAAATTCTTTATTTTAAAAAGGTTTGGAACTGAATAGTAATGGTAGCTGCTCTACAAAATGAATGTGCTGTAAGCCACTGGGCCATATATAGTACAGTTCAAATGATATATTTAATATTACATACATTTATACCTGACAAAGGGTCTCACTATTTAGCCCTAGCAGGCCTGGAACTTACTATGTAGACCAGAAGTGTCTTGAACTCACAGAGATCTGCCTGTCTCTACCTGTGGAATGCTGGGAATTGGGGTGTGCTTCCTCAGTTAGCTTTCAGGTGACTTTTTTTAAGTGAGATGGCACTTACCCATAATCCCAGTACTTAAGAGGTAGAGGCAAAGATATCAGAAGTTTATGATCATTAGCTACACAGCAAGTCCAAGGCCAGTGAGGCCTACGTGGATATTATCTTTTTTTATAAAAATGTTAAGAGTGGTTAAGAGCATTGGCTTTGTGATTGTGAAGACCAAAGTTCCAATCCCAACTCCCGAGTAGAAAGCTGGGTGTCCCTGCATATGCTGTGACTCCAGGTCCAGGAAGTGCAGGCAGGAGAATTGCTGAGTTTGTTGGCTTATAACCTCGCAGATACTTGAGCCCCATTTCACAGAGAGACCCTGGCTCTGAGGGATAGGTAGAGAATGTTGCAAGAGGACACCCGAAGTGTCTTCTGACCTGCACATGTGTGTGTGTAGTGTGTGTGTGTGTGTGTGTGTGTGTGTGTGTGTGGTGTGTGTTGGGTTTGTGTGTGGGGTGTGTGTGGGGGGTGTGGTGTGTGTGTGTGTGTGTGTGTGTGGTGTGTGTGTGTGTGTGTGTGTGTGTGGTGTGTGTGTGGTGTGTGTGTG